TAAGCCTAAGGTGAAATTTGCATCCTTTATTTTAGCAGTGGTGGTGACCACCACATCAGGAGGAATCAGAGAGATTTCGAGGGAGTGTTGAATGAATGTAATTCTTCAGAATTTCTTGAGAGACTACATAAAACCCAGAAATCATAAATATTTTGATAATGTAAAAATTAAACATTTCTACATGGCTGAAATACCACAAACAAGATTAAAAGATGTATATCACCAGAAAAAATAATTGCAAATATACAACCAACAAAACCATTTTCCTTAATATACAAGGAGCTCTTTTAGGTTATTAAGAAAATAATGACTTTTTTAAAGGCAAAAGTTGTGAATAGAAAATCCACAGAAAAAAGGATTTTAAAAGCTAGTCAATAATTCAAAATGTCTAACCATATACGAAAGAAAATAACCAGCCCTGGCTGGTGTGGCTCAGTGGATTGAATGCTAGCCTGTGAACCAAAGCATCACCAGTTTGATTCCCAGTCAGGGCACATGCCTGGGTTGCCAGCCAGGTCCCCAGTTGGGTCATGTGAGAGGCAACCAACCTATGTGTCTCTTACATGTTGATGTTTCTCTCCCCCTTTTTCTCCTTCCCTTTCCCTCTTTCTCTAAAAAATTTTAAAAGGAATAAATAAATAAATCTAAAACAAGAAAAGAAAATAAGAAAGTAACCAAGTTTAAAAACGGAGGCACCACTTGACCTAGGAGGTTGGCAAAGATGAAGTGCTGTCTAACATTGGACAGTGGGGAGAGTGAGTCCCACCTGCTGGTTTGTGTGGAAATTGATGAGAACTTTCTGGAAGATAATATCTTCCAAATTAAAAACACATCCTTAGAACCAGAGATTCAAACTCTTTTCTTGGAATGTATTAGTTAACAGCCTTCCCTGTCCTGATAAATAAATATACCTAAGGATATCCAATAAACATTAATAGTGGTTACTTTCTAGGTGTTTGTGCCTCATTTTTTCCAGCTTCACACCATTCAGACTTTTTCTTATCAGGTGTTTGTATTTTGTTATTTTTTTAAAAGTAAAATTGTTTCCCAAACCCGGCAGCATGCTAACGATAGAAGAAACCTTACTTCTGACCTTAGGGTCTCATATAAACCCCACAATTGGCATTACATTGTGTTTGCCAATGAGCAAATGCAATATGAGATGTTTTCTTAGTACTGTCCTCCAATACTAACTGTAATCACTCAGCAGAATGATCTCTCTGGACCTCCCTGGGTTTTCTGCCATGTGCCTCTGTACTTTCCTAGGAAACCTGCTACAGGCATGTTTCCTGCCCCAGAGCCTTGCTCCTCCCGTCCAGGGTGACTGTCCCGGGTCTGTAGATGCGATCTTCCTTCACACCCCATCACACTCTCACTGTCTGCTTTGGGCTCCTGGCGTATCCAGGAAGGGTGGGAGACAGCACTGGAGCCAGGAGTAGGGATGGGAGGAGTGGGTAGGGATTGGAGGGTTTGAGAAGAACTAGACAGGGAGCTACATAGTCCTGAAAAGGAATAGTAATGATGACAATTATGGACAACTTACGATGTACTCATGTATTCACATGTAACGTGTTCTGTATTTCACGGACGCTTCATGGACCCCAGGAGAGGTCAGCATTATGAGCCCCGTCCTCCAGGTGCGGTGACAGTGCTCAGAGAGCACAGGGTGGGTGAAGCGGCTGAGCGGGCATTCAAACCGAAGGCTGCCCCACAGCCTCTGAGGTGCAGCTCGCAGCCACAGTTCCACGTGTGCCACAGTTCCACGTGTGCCGGGGAGGTAAACACGAGGGCAGGGATCTGTTTACCGAACCGAGGAGTCACCTCAAGATTTAATTCCAGGAATCATGGTGCTGAGCCTGCCTCAGAGATCATGGACTTTGGAAAGAAGACAGTTCTTGGCTGTGGTAGTCGTGCTCGCGTGTACCAGTGGGGACCCCACAACCCAGGTTTATTTATAAAAAATTGTGAACTTATTCTTTACACATTTAAACTTCAGTCACCTTCAAAGTACTTTCCATTTGATGCAATACACCTCTCGAGACATTTTTCCCACTGCTCAAAACAGTTTTTGAACTCTTTGATTTTCATGCCTCTTAGTGCTTCTGCTGTTTTTTGTTTCACCTCTTCCACATTGGCAAAACGTTTCCCTTTGAGGACTTTTTTCATCTGGGAAAACAAACAAAAAAGTTGCTGGTGTGAGATCCTGTGAATAAGGAGGGGCTTGAGGGTCATGCCGTTTTTGGTCAAAAACTGAACACTCAGTGAAGTGCGGGCAGGTGTGCTCGTAAATCACCTTTCATGAAACAGGCAAATGCATTGAAAGAGTCTTCAAAAAAAAAAAGAAACTCATTGAAGCCAAACACAGCCTCTCACAACAATGCCAGGTGGTACTGTGATGCAGATGAGTTCCTAGAACACTCACCCAGTGGGGGAAGCCTGTACTACCAGGGGCCCACCCTCCAGAAGATAATTAGGTTTGGGGGGTTCCTCATGTATTTGTGCAGATGGTGCTGGGGAGGAGGGGTGCAGAGGAATGTCTGTTTGGTGGAGTCTGAAAAAAGCAAAGATGACATTCCATACTGGGAACGGAATTATAGGCAGAAGTGTATTATTTGTGGTTTCCCTTCAGACCGTTGGGAAATGCTACTGCAAAACCTTCATTCTTGATGGAGCTGAGCCTCTCCAGTGAACTGAGCAGGGCTGGCCCGGAATCGTGACGAACCAGCAGCAGCCTCAGCCGCCTCAGTCCCTGGTGGCTGCCGATTCAGCGGATTGCATGTGTCCTGGGCTGCAGAGTGCTGATGCAGGCAGTTCATCTTTGATTTTCCTTTTAATCCCTTACGACAACCACCACATAGCTTTTCCTGCAGTCTGGCTGAGGTTCCAATATCCGGGGAGCCTCAGAGCTGGAGTGCCTGGAAAAGTTGCCCAAGACCATGAGGGGAGCAGAGTCACCCTAGGTGGGGTTGAGGTGGTCCCAGCTCTCTAACAACTGTAGCTAGTAGAGCGGGGTGGTGGTGGTGGTTGGGGGAGTGTCTCCAGATGCCTGGGAGGGAACAGAAAGTTTGTCCCTGTACAGGAATGCTGCAGTCACTGGAGTAGATTCCAGAGGCTTTTCTTGGATGGGTCTCTTTGGTCTCCCCCGAACAATGTTGATTTTTTTGAAAAAAGATTTTGTTTATGTTCAGAGAGAGGGGAAAGGAAGGAGAAAGAGAAGGAGAGAAACATTAATTGGTTGCTTCTCACATGTCCCCAGATAGGGACCTGGCCTGTAAACCAGGCACATGTGCCCTCACCGGGAATTGAACCAGCAACCTTTCGGTTTGCAAGCCGGCACTCAATCCACTAAGCCACACCAGCCAGAGCTCGATGTTGGTTTTGCTTTTCAGTCTGAGAGACAGCCCTAACATGGGGCCTGGAAGGCTCAACTGTGGGCATCGTGCAGTGTCTGCCTACAGCCTGGATGGAAAGTTTCTTTTACTTATTGAATGTGTCCTAAGTTCTTGGCACTGAGAACTCAAGTACTTGGCTGGGTGCCCAAGGCACGTTTCCTAGTTTTTTCCTCGCAACAACCGCACAATGTATGGCATTCCCATTTTAGAGGTGAGGCAGCTGAGGCTCAGAGGCTCAGGAGGTTGCCATGGCCAGAGTTCTGACACAGATAAAGTCGGCTCCAGTTCTGACATTCTCTGTGTGTCAGGCCACCAGCCCACAGTTGTATGGAGGCAAGTCCCCACGGAAACTTGGGTGGACAACGTTCGCCCCAAGTTGCCCCTGTGGACTAGCGGGTGTGGGGAGTGCCCTCAGGGAGCCGGGCAGACACGGCTTTTCTCAGGGCCTGAGAAGGAGCTGCTGAGGGGACCTGGGCTCAGAACGAACCCTGGATGTCATTCACATAGAGCATTTCCCTGACTCTCTGACACATTTCACCTCACTTCAGTGACAGTTTACCATTGGGAGAAGGGCTGTGTTGACAAATATGCCAATCAGTGAATCCCCAAGGAAATAATCCTGTATCCCTCTAGTAGATGTGTAGCAGGGCCGAGGAAGACTGGCGGAGCCATTGCCACTGGAGGAGGCTGCTGAGGGGACGCGCTCAACTTCTCTCCCAGCCCTGGCTCTGGCCTCGGCGTCTCTTCAGCCCTTGCATGCTGTGCATGCACGGAGCTGTCCCTGCAGCCAGCTGTATTACCATCTGCAGTCTGCATGTCTCCTGTCTGCACTGCTTGTTTCCTGTGGGGAAGGGACTTTGCCTTCCTGGTGGCACCTGAAGATCTCAATCTGCTTGTGTCTGTGGAGAATCTGTCTCTTGCTCTGCCTGAGCTCTGGGCTTGTTTGAGAGGAACGAAGAGACTGGCCTGACTCTTGTCGTACATACTCTTGGGTCAGCATTCTTCCGCATTTGAATAAGCCTAGAAGTTTTTTTTGAGGGGCACCTGTGTAGTTTATTTGCTAGGCCCCTTAACTTATAGCCATTTGGACACTAGTCCACTCCATCCCATCGCTGTCACTATATGCGAATATTAAAAGTGAATTTTATACAGGGGTTACAATGTGGCGGCAGGCCCAGGGGCCTTCAGGCCTGTGGCAGCACGCTGGGTCCTGGGGGCACGAAGAACAAAACGGAAGCATGGACTCCTGGTGGGGGGCTGGACGGGCCCCATGAGCTCGGCGGGGACTTGGCTGGGAGGCCCTGGGAAACAGTTTTGTAAGGGGGTGGGTGCCCCATCATTGGATGTGAAACTGTCTCATTGTTTATGTGAATTATAAAAGTAATATGAAAGTGCTTAGCATTAAGAAAAAGAATCAGGCAACACGTAAATGTGCATAGAAGAAATTAAGGCCCACTGGACACCCATTACCAGAGACGACCATTGTTTTTGGTCTCATGGGTTTTAAGGACTTGCTTATGGCCGGACTCGTGGGTTTTCAGTCCTGGTCTCTGTGAAGCAGTTTGATCCCGTCTTTTCCAAACTAATAGTGGCCCTTCCTGTCCGCAGAACACGGGGAGTTCCTGGCCCTGGACCTCGGAGGGACCAACTTCCGAGTGCTCCGGGTGAGAGTGACCGACAACGGGCTCCAGAAGGTCGAGATGGAGAACCAGATCTACGCCATCCCCGAGGACATCATGCGAGGCAGCGGCACTCAGGTCCGAGCCTTATCCCAGAGTGGCCTCGGGGGTCTGGGCCCTGCAGGTGTAGGCGCCGCCCCTCCTCTGTGGTCTGGAGGGAGGGGACCCCGGCAGAAGCTTGCATTTTCTGACCTGTCTCTGTGTGGTGAAACCCCGCCATGCCCGGAAGCTGAGGGCGGGGCCTCCATCGGGAGAGATGCACGTGGGCCAGAGAGCAGGTGCTGGGGTCTGGGCATGTAGCAGCAGGAGGAGTTTTGAGTTGCCCTCTCTTTTGAGGTCTGCTTGCACATGCTGATTATTGAGGAAAGCCCGCTGTCGGGAGGCTGGGCCCACATTCCTGGACACCTGGTTGTTAGTGGTGCTACTGAATGGCCAGTCAGTAGAATCCCTGATTGTGGTTTGACACTGCCACTGGCCACTCTGTAGCCCCTTTGGTTCATAGTTGTTATCATAGTATTGTATGAAAAGGAGACCTGCCTCATTGCCTTTGTGGTTATTTGTGCTCTGTCTTCTTGACGCTCTAAAACAGAAGGGGTTTTGCACACAGGGACAGGAGCCTGTTGAGAAAACATCAAAATCCAGCTTTGGGGAGTCTGTCCCACCTGGCATCACAGTGGGCACTATGTGCTTCCACATTGGCCTCAAATCATGCTTAGTCATCCTCATATCTTGGTGGCTCCTATGCCCATGTTTTGTACTCAGAATCTACACAATAAGATAAGTGAATGGAAGGGTTGTTGGGGTTGTTGGTTCGATTCCCAGTCAGAGCACATGCTTGGGTTGCAGGCCAGGTCCCCAGTAGGGGGCACACAAGAGGTAATTACACATTGATACTTCTCTCCTCTTTCTCCCTCTCTTCCTCTCTCTCTAAAAATAAATAAGTCCTGCTTCTTTTGTTCCATGGCTTAAAGTCTGGTTGGACCAGGGGAGCACCCCCCGTCCCCCCTTGAAAACAGTAATAATGTGTTGAAGGGGATGAGTAACCCTCAGGGGGAGAAGCTGGTATGTGTATCGGGCTAAGCAAAAACACTTTTATGGATCTTCTCATTGTATCCTCAGATGAACCCTACGAGGCTGGGTGTGCCTGTTATCTCCATTTTATAGACTTGGGATTGGGCTTCGAAAGACTGAATGACCTGGCGTTAGATCACAGAAGTGGGAGGGGCTGGAGGCAGGACACAAAGCCAGAGCCATATGATAGAGCCTGTGTTTGCACAGCTCTGGGGGTGGGGGTGGCAGGTGGCTCCATCTGCTCTGTAGGCCGCCTGACATGGTCCACATGAGGGGCGCTCCGTGGAACTAGGCCACACGGTGGTCCTGGGGCTCGGCTACCTGCCCCTTGCGCTTCCAGAGCTGGAGGCGCCCCTGAAGGGGCTGGTTCCCTTGCAGACGTGAAATCCTGTGGGGCAGGCCCTTTGGGGGTTCTTCCTCAAGAATTCCCCCAGGAGAGCCCTCTTACAGAGGGGGCACTCACTGCCACCACACCCAAAGTATCTTTCTGAATGGTGGGTGACAGCCACAGGTCCAGCCATTATTCTCTGCACCTGAATGTCGAGGGAAGCTGGTGTCCCTCCCTTTCATCTGCTGTACAGAATCCTTCTTGGGATGTTTTTTCTGCTCCTTCTCCAGAGGCTCCCTGTCCATGGGTAGGAAACACTGAAGACATTCCCACACACTGGCACTGCTATAGGGATCACTCTTGGCCTGAGTGGTGGCTCTTCTTGCAGTATTTTGTGCCTGCGTGTACTCAGTGAAATAGTGAATGGAGGAGGTGAAATCGGGGCTCAGAAGAGGTGGAACCTTCTCACTCCTGGTGCCCAGTTTTACCCACACCAGGCCACCTCCTGGGAAAGGAACTGTGGGCTATAAGTAGAACATGTGGGGGAGATATTTTTAGACCCTTAATATGTCCTTGGGGGTGACCAGAGGGTAAACCTGTTTTCCTTGTTTTAATGCTGGGGCTGGGGCAGGGGGGCTGAGCTGCCAGGACAGTGAGCGTTTTAGCTACCGAGGTTGTCACTAGGTCCAATGGACATAGATAGACACAATGTTTTAGTCCAAATTAAAAAGAAAATCTGTGAGACCCACCTGGAAAAAACTGTGAAACTATTATGAAGTGAAAAGCATTTTGCATAAATGGAAAAATGCTACAAAAAAATGAAACATAAAGAAAATGAGAGCATCGGTGCTTCTTTCACCTGAAGGAAGGGAGACAATGATACGTCTAAAAGCTGCAGAAAACAATGTGGTGAAAAGGCTGGAATTACTGGTGCCCTCTCCTCTTCACTGAAGGTATCAATCTTTTAACTGGAGGAAAACGAATGGGTTTTAAAAACAAAATTTAGTCAAAATCAAGATGAAACCACCATCCCCAAAACTTGCAAAGGTGTCTGAAGATCTGTGAACCTGGGCAGTGTGGGTCCCTGGATAAAGCCTGTCTCCAGCGCATGAACTTCCACTTGAGAGCAGTGAATCACAAATCCTAACAGCAGCCACTTTAGACTTGTTAAGTGTATCTCATGGGAAGGGAAGTGAGCAGATTCTCAGACCAATAAGTACAAGGAAACATCTCATAACTTCATAAAATGATGCCCTTTGAGCTTTTTATGGCAGGAAGGTGTTGGCTCTTTCTCCCAGGATCTTATCTTTAGGTCATCAGCTAACAAAAGAGGAGATAGTCTTTTAATTAAGCAAGCAGATGTTCCCTCCTTCCACTTTCATATTTTTTTTTAATTACATGAGTTTTTCTTTTTCTTTTTTTTAAATTTTTTAATTTTAATCTTTGTTCAAGTACAGTTTTCTCCCTTTTACTCCCATTCCAGCCCACCCACCCAACCCTCCCCACTTCCCTCCCATTACCACCCTCCCCCTAGTTTTTGTCCATGTGTCCTTTAAATTTGTTCCTTTAAACCCTACCCATTCTCCCCTGAAATTCCCTCTTCTCTCGCCTCTGGTCACTGTCAGTCTGTCCTCTATTTCAGTGACTTTACTTATATTTTGCTTTTTCTTTGTTTTGTTGTTTAGTTTCCTGTTAAAGGTGAGATCATATGGTATTTGTCTTTCACTGCCTGGCAAGTTTTGCTTATCATAATGCTTTCCAGCTCTATCCATGCTGTTGCAAAGGGCAGGAGCTCCTTCTTTCTTTCTGCTGCATAGAATTCCATTGTGTAAATGTACCATAGTTTTTTGATCCATTCATTTCCTGATGGGCATCTAGGTTGCTTCCAGCACCTAGCTATTGTAAATTGTGCTGCTATGAACATTGGGGTGCAAAGGTTCTTTTGGATTGGTGTTTTAGTGTTCTTAGGATATAGTCCCAGCAATGGAATTGCTGGGTCAAAAGGCAGATCCATTTTTAGTTTTCTGAGGAAGTTCCATACTGTTTTCCATAGTGGTTGTACCAGTCTGCAATCCCACCAACAGTGCACTAGGGTCCCCTTTTCTCCAGAACCTCACCAGCACTTGTTGTTTGTTGCTTTGTTTATGATGGCCATTCTGACTGGTGTGAAGTGGTATCTCATTGTGGTTTTAATTTGCATCTCTCTGATAGCTAGCAATATTGAACATTGCTTCATGTGTCTTTGGATCTTCTGTATGTCCTCCTTGGAGAAGTGTCTGTTCAAGTCCTATGCCCATTTTTTAATTGGGTTGCTTGTCTTTTTAGAGTGGAGTCGTGTAAGTTCTTTATATATTTTAGAGATTAAACCCTTGTCTGAGGTATCATTGGCAAATATGTTTTCCCATACAGTTGGTTCTCTTTTTATTTTGATACTGTTTTCTTTAGCTGTGCAGAAGCTTTTTATTTTGATGAGGTCCCATTTGTTTACTCTTTCCTTTATGTCCCTTGCTCCAGGAGACATGTCAGTAAAAATGTTTCTGCGTGAAATATCTGAGATTTTCCTACCTACGTTCTCTTCTAGGACTTTAATGGTGTCATGGTTTATATTTAAGTCTTTTATCCACCTTGAATTTATTTTTGTATAAGGTGTAAGTTGGTGCTTGAGTTTCATTTTTTTTGCACGTAGCTGTCCAGTTCTCCCAACACCATTTGTGAAGAGGCTATTTTTATTCCATTTTATGTTGCTGCTTCCTTTGTCAAATATTAATTGACTGTATAGACTTGGGTTTATTTCTGGGCTCTCTGTTCTGTTCCATTGGTTCATGTGCCTGTTTTTATGCCAGTACCAGGCTGTTTTGATTATAGTGGCCTTGTAGTATAGTTTAGTGTCAGGTATTGTGATCCCTCCTGCTTTACTCTTCTTTCTCAAAATTGCAGCAGTTATTTGGGGTCGTTTATGGTTCCATATAAATTTTTGAAGTGTTTGTTCTATGTCTGTGAAATAAGCCATTGGTACTTTAATGGGAATTGCATTGAATGTGTAAATTGCTTTGGGTAGTATGGACATTTTGATGATATTAATTCTTCCAATCCATGAACATGGCATATGTTTCCATTTGTTTGTGTCTTCCTTGATTTCTTTCCTCAGTGTTATGTAGTTTTCTGAATACAGGTCTTTTACCTCTTTGGTTTGGTTTATTCCTAGGTATTTTATTTTTATTTTTGCTATTTCAAATGGGATTTTTTTTTCTTGATTTCTGCTTCTGCTGTTTCATTGTTGGTATACAGAAATGCCTTTGATTTCTGGATATTGACTTTGTATCCCGCTGTTTTGCCAGATTCATTTATTAGGTCAAGCAGTTTTTTGGTGGAGTCTATAGGATTTTCTATGTACACTATCATGTCATCTGCAAACAGTGACAGTTTTGTTTCCTCCTTTCCGATTTGGATGCCTTTTATTTCTTTATCTTGTTTGATTGCTGTGGCTAAAACTTCCAGTACTATATTGAATAGAAGTGGTGAACCACTTTCACTTTTTTAAAAAGACTTTATTTATTTTTAGAGTGGGGGGGAAGGGAGGGAGAAAGAAAGGGAGAGAAACATCAATGTGTGTTTGTCTCTCGCATGCACCCCAACCAGGGACCAGGCCCTCAACCCAGTCACGTGCCCTCACGGGAATCGGCCTGGTGACCTTTCATGTGCAGGACGATGCCCAAACAACCGAGCCACACCGGGGTCCGGCCTTCCCACTTCCACAGTGGTGTAGGCAGGTTCTCCTAACCCAGCACTGTCCGAGAGAACTTTTCGCAGCAGTGGGACTGTTCTTTACCGGCCTGTGCAACACTGTAGCATGAGCCACTTGTGGCACTGAGCACTTGAAGTGTAGCTAGTGTGACTGAGGAAGTGCATTTTTAATTTTTGGAATTCTAATTACTCTAAATGGTCACAGATGGTCAGTGGCTCCTGTGTCAGGCAGGGCATTACTTGATGCCTCATCGCTGCCTCTTTTCCTTCTGCCTCCTGTTGCTGGCAGAGCAATTGGAAAGGGAGCAGTGATCAGGCCTGGGTGGGGGGAAGCCGTTTTGCTTTGATTTCTTCTAAAGCTCCCCTCCCCCATCTCTGATGATTGACCTTACCTCTACCCAGCCTCTGTAACTTTTTTTTTGGATAAAGACTATTTGCATTAAGATCATTTTGATTAGAGTACCAGGAAGAAGGTGCTGGGGATTGCTTAACTATATCATAAATTTTGTCTCTGATCCACTTTCCAGCAGGAGAACAGAACTTTCTAAATAGCTGTTAGAAGCCTTATTTACATATTAAAATGCTTGACTAAAATGCTCAAAGGAGTTAGCACTTGTGCACAGGTGAATCTTTTGGTGAAGTGGCCCTGACTTTGCCCTTGAGATTGTTTTGGTTTAGAGATTGAGAGTTTCAGAATCAGCTGAAGTGCCTTTTGCTGGTGATCAGACAGAGAGAGGGATGGGACCCATGCAGGAAGCTGGCCCCTTCTAGATGGGGTGGACTTGTCTTCCGGGATTCCTGCCACTGAGATGCCCCAGACACCTGGGGAGCCAGCGGGCCTCTCTCCCTAGCCTGCCACTCCCCAGCCTCTCAGTTCTTTTATAAATGCAAATGCTCTTTGTGGTTTAGTGCAGTGGTTTTCTAACCATGGCTTCAGGACTGGCTGGAGGGCCCTACCCCCACAGTTTCCGATTTGGCAGGTTTGGTTTGGGCCTTAGAATTTGTGTTGGTGGTGGTGATACTGCCAGTTCAGGACCACACTTTGGGACCCCCTGGTTTAGTGGAATTTTCCTCACTTCTGCCTGGAGAGAAAATGAATATGGTTCTGCTTCAGCCCCTGGGCTTTTCATGTTGACATTTGGTCAACCTGGCCCTTGGAATGTGCTTGGTCTCTTTGGTCTCTGCTTACTTTTTGTACCAGAAAGCCCTGGCCTCAGCCCTTCAGCATCTGGAGAGGCCACCGACTTCTTTCTGAGAATGCTTCAGAGAGGAAGGCCGTGGAACCTTGGGCTTTGAGACTGATCGCAAGCCTGGGCAAGTGCGAATACAGCTTTTTCTTAGGTTTAGGACTTTTCCTAAGCCTGGGAGTCCCACTTAACATAGTCATGGTTGTGAAGCTGCCCATCCACAAAATCCTATTCATTTTCAGTGCTCTTCATGGACTCACTGGGTGTTCCATTGTGAATTTAGAAAGCAAAGATAATTTCTTTGAATCCCACCCCCTTACACACATACACACAAGCAATTAGTTTTCTAGAATGGAGAAAAAATATAGAAGTGACTTGTTTTTGTTAAGTCCAATCACAGAATGCCAACAGAGAATGTCTCACCCACTCCCCCAGTCCTAGGAAACAGGGCTGTTACAATGCTGCGTGGCATGAGATGCGCTGCCCTTTAGCTGTGCACCAGTGTTGGTGCGGGGGGCGGTGTGGGGATATGTCAACAAGGCCACCAAAGGAGGTTCTGTTGCTAGGGCACGTAGTGACTTTCTGCTCAGCTCTGGCTATGTTTTGATAGTGGTATGGACACACGGTTTAAGTGGAAGACAGTATGTAATGAGCACCAACTAGTGTTAAGCCTTTATACATATTGACTCGTTTAACTTTTGGTAACTCTGTGAGGGCAGGTACGATTAGCATCCCCATTATAGACTGAGCCCATAAGGACTTCACAGGGGAAACACACCTCGAATGCATTCAGCCAGTTCCTTTCGGAGCCCAAAGTCCATGCTCTTAACCACTCTCCTCTTCTGCCTCCCTGCTCATCCTCCTGTGCTGTGTGCCCTCAGCTGTTTGACCACATCACTGAATGCCTGGCCAACTTCATGGATAAGCTACAAATCAAGGACAAGAAGCTCCCCTTGGGCTTTACGTTCTCGTTCCCCTGCATCCAGACGAAACTAGACGAGGTAAGATGAGTTCTTCAGACACTTTCGTTTCGTCATTGTTTGGGCTGGGAGGATGAGGAAGAACTCTGAGCCGCCTGCTGCTGTGGGGTCGGAGGTGGCTCTGATGGTTGTGTGAACGAGGTTTAAATGTTGAGAGTTCTGTGCTTTTGTGGGAGTGGGTGTGGGGGGTGGTGAGGAAGTGTCAGAGATGGGGGTCTTTCTCCCCCGCCCTTCAAAGGACGACACACAACCCCACATGCGTTGCACGTCACCCTTATCCCTCTCAGGGAAGCAGGAGTGGGAACTAGTCAGGAATCCTTTGGTCTGGTGTCATGACAAAGATCTTCGGAAGAAAGACACCTGAGGAGTTAAGCCGGAGGTTAAAGTATCTGATTTTGGCAGCTCTATAGCCTGCCCTTTTCACTTTTGGGGGCAGTTGATCATGAAGAAATCATTCATTTGACTTCCTTTCTGGGACTTTGATGGGACTTGGACTTCTTCCTGGGCTAGTGAGGAAGCAACATACACATTTGATCATGGCTTTACTTTAGCGCCGTGGCAGCGGGCTCCACTATGGTTGTTTGACGAGCGTGGTCTGAGTTTTATGAGGAATTAATGTTCAGTCCTCGGTCCTTTTCCAGAGTTTCCTGGTCTCATGGACCAAGGGGTTCAAGTGCAGTGGTGTGGAAGGCAAAGACGTGGTTACCCTGATCCGGAAGGCCATCCAGAGGAGAGGGGTGAGTCGGGGTGGCCGGGTGGGGAGGCAGGAGCTTGGGGTCTGGAGGCCCTTTGGGGTCCACTCTGAAGTCTTCCCCAGTCTGTCCTCAACACAGCACGAGGGCCTATTGTTGTTCTTAAAGTGGGGTGTTTTTTTCCTTCTTCCCTGCTATGTTTACCCAATATAATGTATTTATTCTTTACAGTTTTATTGAAATGTAATTGACGTACAGCTCTGTATCAGTTTAAGATACACCGAATAATGAATTGATACACATACATTGTAAAATAATTACTATGCCAAGAATTTTATAAATGACTAGATTTTTGGGGTCCCAGATGATCATGATAGATAAATAAATATTCTTAGCTTTGGTTCAAGAAAAACTCTGTAGTTCTTAACCTGAAGACTTGAATATCATTTTCAAGTAAGAAAGTTGGGATGTTGTTGGCATCAGGGTGGAACGGGGTGGAGAAAGGACAAGATAAGGGTCACTGAAGAATATGACTTTTGGGGAGGGAGCGGGGGGGCGGGCAGGGGGAGAAAGATAAGGAAGAAGAAACAGGAGAAGACGACAATGATGACAAGATGGGCTGCTCTTAGTGCAGTGATGACTATCAGCTGGAGCGCAGGGCTGCTGCTGGGAAGCTCTCCCCGACGAAGACAAGCAGGGTGGGGAGTGAGACGCAGCTGCTAGACTGGCTGTGGACCCACTTTCCAGCAATAACCTTCCTTGGTTTTCAGTAGGGCTAGTTGGGAGGCAGCCCTTTCACTCTCGAGCTGTGTGTCTTGCTGCTCTTTCTCTTCATCTTCCCATCTGTGACCTTTGTGTGATAGTGAAGGTCAGATCTCTCCTTTTATCCCTGCAGGACTTTGATATCGATATCGTGGCTATGGTGAATGACACAGTTGGGACCATGATGACCTGTGGTTATGATGACCAGAACTGCGAGATCGGTCTCATTGTGGGTGTGTGAGCACCGGGCGTGAGGGCCAGAGCTGGTCGGCACATGGGGCGTGGGCTGGACAGGCAGCAGGGTCCCTTGCCCGGGTGTTCCTTTGTACTTCATATTGGAAGGCAGTGGTGTGGTCACTTTGGAGGACCAAGCCAGTACTTGTGGAGTTGGGGGTGTTAGCAGAGTGGATACCCCAGGAGTCTGCTCTGAGGAATCCCAGTCACCCCATGCAGTGTCAGGATGGGGGGGCAAGGGGAGAGAACGGTGTGGGTGCGCACTGAGCAGCCCTTGTTTTGGCCAGGCACGGGCAGCAACGCCTGCTACATGGAAGAGATGCGCCACATTGACATGGTGGAGGGCGACGAGGGGCGGATGTGCATCAACATGGAGTGGGGGGCCTTCGGGGACGACGGCGTGCTCGATGACATCCGCACTGAGTTTGACCAGGAGATCGACATGGGCTCCCTGAACCCCGGGAAGCAACTGTGAGCAGAGGGCTTGGGGCGTGGGCTCAGGAGTTGAGTTGGGGCATGACCAGGGCTGGGGGTGGTTCTCATTTTTGCTTTATAGACTTATGCCCCTCAAAGGTTGCCAAGGCACCCGTTGGTTATGGGGATTTGTGCCCATTACATGCATTGTGACTGCAAATTTCTGAGCAAGCTCTGAGAAAGATAGAAAAAGCAGACATACCAGGTAATAATTTGGACTGCCCTTCAGAACAATAGTTTCAGAAGGTCATATTCTGAGTGTAAGTATGACCCTGCTCTTTCTTCCCACCTGTAGTTTGTAGGTTGCCCTTAGAAACAGTTTGTGAGCCACATAGAAAATGTGGAGATGGCTGAGATTTGGGTCTCCAAAAGCTCCTTTTGTAACTCCCACCCATCACGGTCCAGACAACACCGAGGCTGTGATAGACAGCCCCCAGTGACTGGCGGAGGCTCTGGCTCAGCAGTGGCATTGCCTGGGAGCTGGGCTGACCCCATGAATCCCAGTGCCTCTCAGCCCAGCAGTACCCAGACCCAAGGCCCAAGGACAAGTTGGCCAAGGTGCCTCCTTGGCCTCCTTCCCTGAACCTATGGCCTAGCTGGGGCCCTGGGGGCAGGAGCTGGAGGAAGGGCTCCAACATTTGGACCCTGAATGTTATACTCTCCACCCTGGCCAGACTTGGTACTTAGTTACTTTTGGCTCTTACAAAACATTGGTTCACTCTCACAAACATTTGCTAAATGTCCCTTAAAGATCTTGAAATAGGGATTGCTGCAAGCTTTGAGAGCAATTACAAAATGTTTTGAGCAATTCGGGCCCTCTCTGGTCTTGTTTCTGGGCCTAGGCGAAGAGCTTGCAGTGCTGGTCTCTGCCTGGAGAGGAAAACCCAACCCTACAAACCAGCTCGGCAGGGGCTCCTGTTTCTTTACAGAGACAGTCCTTGCTTCCTCAAGGGCACATGGTTTATTTAAGGCACAAACTTTCTCACGTGGAAACGGGAGTCCATTTGCTTGTAACTTTTGTAGGAACATACTGGCTGTGTCTGCTATGCTGGTGAGGAATTTCTGGACTGAAAGTCACTCCCTCAGTGCCTGTCTCCATCAATGAGGCACACCCACGCCATTTCAAGAAGCTGTTTGCCCTTTGAGGTGTCAGAAGACAGAATTGCTAGCCCAGCCTTGGCAACCCACCTATCAAATCAAAGGCTGGAGGGACATAAGCCAGTGGTAGTCCCAAAGACATTTTGGGGCTTGAGTAGGAACTTTTTTGATTCTTTATATGTTTCTAAATAATTACTTTCCAAATGTTGACAGGAAGAAAGTGTTCCAAAAAACTGTAATTAAGACTTTTAAAAACTGCCCACACTTCAGAGCGCTGCTGGACCCCTCTGCTACTTCCTACAGGACCACCTATTTCAGAGAAGCCGCTGTAACAGAAGCACGAGTTCCTTGCCATTGAAGGGTCTGCCTCCCAGGCAGCTAGCTGGCTGTGGGCGCTTGAACCTTTCAAATGCCCCCTCTGCTCAAGCAGTTCAGCCAGCTCTCCACTTAGCTCTAATTCTGCCATACTTGACCTTGGGTCTTGAGCAAGTCACTTCCTGAGGGCCCAACTTCCCTTCTCACAGATAGCACCTGGAGAAAACTGAGTCCCTTTCTCACCCCTGCTGTGGGCCTTCTTGAGGAATCCTGGCCTGGTTAGTGTCTGCAGGCCCTGGGGGCCTCGTCTCCCCAGGACCCAGATCCTTTCTGAGATATCAAGTAAGGATATACCCTTCTCTGCCAAAAAGAATGGTAAAGACTTGGTTTCTCCTGTCACAAACTCGGAGACAGAAAAGACTGTCTTTTAAAGAAAACAGTGCCATCTAGTGTTGAAGAAATAAATTACCCGCGTGCCCTCTCAGCTTGGGGCTGGCCATTCTTAAACATGCCTTTATTTTATTACCTGCTGGCTCAGAAACTTCCAGCATATCTCACTCCCATATTCCTGAGAGACTTCATGACATTTTGAGCCCCTTCTCAGCTGTCCCAACCTGCCTTTCTAATCTTGCCCCATCACCCCTCCTCTACCACCACCCCTGGTGGTTTTCACACTTTTCTTGGGAATCCGCCTGCAAGGGGCCAGGGCCAGTGTGCAGTGGTGAGTTGCTGGGCCTGCACCGCCATTTATTTGTAACTTTCACTACAAGCTATGAGTAACTTGTAACTTCATTACAAGCCCCCTCCCCATTTAATTAGAGTGGACTTCTCTTATAAATAAATATTGAGGTTCATTCTACATTAAATTTCATTTTCAAAAAACACTTCCTTGCTACAGGAAAAAAAATTTTTGAACTCATTACAAGTAACTTACTTTACCTAAAATTTAGACTATTCCAGGATTTCCCATAGTTCTGGGATGTTTTGTATGCCTGCTAATGGCCCATCCTTCCCCATAGTTCAAGGGCCACCTGCCTGCAGAGACAGCCCGAGCTCCCCAGCTCCTCCAGCCCTGTCCCGAGCTGGCACCTCACACATCTCCTTCCCAGTCAGTGCCACACAAGTTAGTGCTTCATTGTGCGTCAGCCTCTAATAATCGTTGAAGTGCTACATGTGTGCAAGTTGCCTTCACGGGGACCTTGTGAGTTCATGGACAGCAGGGACTTCATTTGTTTTCTGGTCTGTGTCTTCCTGCAGATTTGAGAAGATGATCAGTGGGATGTACATGGGGGAGCTGGTGAGGCTGATCCTGGTGAAGATGGCCAAGGAGGAGCTGCTTTTCAGGGGGAAGCTCAGCCCCGAACTCCTCGCCAAGGGCCGTTTTGAGACCAAAGATGTTTCGGATATCGAAGGGTAAGCTTTTGGGTTCCTAGCGGTTTACTGAAGAATGGTCAGGAAGTTGGAGAATGACCCTTGGCACTGGCCCTTGATCCCTCAAATGTGGATGGCAAGAGGGTCTTGCCCAACACGGGCCATGCTGGCCTGTGGCTTGATGTCACTTACCAGATAGTCTCCACTCCTGTCTATTTTGAGCGTGCTGACCTGACAACCAGGGTGACTCATGGTACTGACCAGGGTGACTCATGGTACTGCGACTGACTGACCTCCAAATGCGGAGACATCACACTTACCTTCCTGCTTGGCCTGGGGCGGGAGTGGGGGCTTGGCTTAATGCTGGAAGCTCCCAGTGGTCCTTACTGACAGCTTTGCTTCTATTTCCTTTCCCTTCTTTGAAGCTCCATTGGCGATTCTCAGAAAGGGCTCCTGACCCCTGCTTGGTCAGCCCCGAAATATACCCGTCTAGTTCCATTGGATTGAGCCGAGGCCTGCAATTCATGGAACAGCAGGGGTGGGAGTGAGGGTGGCCTAATTTTTGTTTTTCGGTTAACAATATCCAGAGCTGGGCTTGTTCCTGTTCTCGAGACTCCCACCAGTGGCTTGAGGAGGCCCTGTTAGTTCAGGGGCAGACGGTGGAGAGGAGTGACTTGGGGTCATGGGAGCAGTGAAACAGTTCAAATGACCGAAATGGAAACTGTTGAAGGAGTTGTGAGACGAAAGTACTCAAATTTGTGAGGCACATAGTTCCCCTAGGAAGAGCGCCACTCGCTCTCCTAGCACAGCCCTTCAACACAGTCACTAGCACGAGCTGAAGCCGCGCCCTCTGCCTGGTGAAATGCAATAGACTGACTGCTTTCTAGAAAGTGGGGTGGGCTCCACAGCTGGTTCACAGAGTCGGGGGTGGTGGGCAGCAGGGATACCAGTCTCTCTACCCCACGACACAAGGAAACACAAACTTGCACACACACAACTCTGTGTATAGAGCCCTGAGAACAGGGACTTACATAGTATGTGAATGAGAAATACTAGTTTTTCTCATGGGGTCAGGAAAGAGAGGCGCCTGTAGTGCTGGTTGTGTATGTCTGTCTGTCTGGGGGAGGAGCCTTACTTGGGTTTCCTTCCTCCCTCTTTGTTCAAACCCCTCCCCCACCCTTACCCCACCCCTCCCCCACTGGGCGGAGCAGCGAAGCGGGTGTCTGCCCTCACTGAGAGAAGGCGTTTGCTGAAGCTGAGGGGTTTCCTTGTCGGTCCACGCCCCCCTCTCCCACTGTGGCCGCAGTGGATTGGACACATGCCCACATCCTGTCTTTCTGTTTCCTAGGGACAAGGATGGCATCCGGAAGGCCCGCGAGGTCCTGATGCGGCTGGGCGTAGACCCGACACAGGAGGACTGCGTAGCCACTCACCGGATCTGCCAGATCGTGTCCACGCGCTCAGCCAACCTGTGCGCGGCCACCCTGGCCGCTGTGCTCCGGCGCATCAAGGAGAACAAGGGCGAGGAGCGGCTGCGGTCCACTATTGGGGTTGACGGCTCCGTCTACAAGAAACACCCGCAGTGAGTCAGCGTTTGGGATCCATAGTGATGGGGCTCCCAGAGCCCTTGGGGGCTCCTGACAGGCTTGAGAGAGGAGACCCTGGTGGCTCTGGGGGCCCAGCTCCCTTCTGCGTTCTGGGTGGTGGAGATGGGCTGTGGAGTTGAGCGTCTTTGCAGAATGAAAGTCCCCAGCCGGGAAGTGGGAGGCGGGAGGGTGTTGTTCTTGGCGTGAATAGAGGCAATTTCTGAAGCCCCCTGACCACCAGGGGTGGGGTTTACTCAGAGCTCTCCTGGCCCCTCGGGGCTCTTGTTGCCACCCCTTGTTTAGGAGTTAGTGTTTGCTTGTTTCTTTGACACTCAGGATTCTCGATGGGCCCTTCAGGTGCTGTGTCCTCTGCCAGGGGCCGCCTCAGCCCAGTGGGTGACCTGGCTGAGCTGACCTGGGTGACCTGGGTGTGGGATGATCCAGCCCTGCCCTTCACGTTCTGATCCCTCAGGTCAGAAGTGCCCAAACATGCCCCAATTTCAGTTGGGGCCTAGAAGACACCTGTCTCTGTTGTGCCCACTTGTCCCATCCCGTGCGCCTGTTACGGCTGCCTGCTCAGTAGGCCTTCGCTGACCGAACTGGTTGATGCTGAAGGTCTCAGCCCTCCCACTCCCTGGCCTCCTAGTCCAGTGCTGCAGACACTTTAAAGTGTGCACGAATCGCACGGACATCTCTCCAGGAGAGAGGCTGGCTCTGATTCACAAGTTCTGGGTTCAACCCAGTGGTGCTGCGGGCCCACAGACCGCAGGGGCGAGGTCCTGGAGACCATGGCTCAGAGCAGCTGCCACCCAAGAATCTCTTGCTGAGCATACCTGTTCAGGCATCTTAGGCATCGTTGGCATCTTTGGCAGGAATTGGCTAAAGAAAGGCCAAAGTCCAGAAAGGCATTTCAATTTTTTCCAATTTGGGTCTTTCCCAGGCAGCATCTAATGAAAAATTAGTGATTATACATGAATAGTAGTTGGTGTCAGAATCACCTGATTCCACTGTGCTGCTCCAGCAAAGAGGCCGATATAAGGGGCACAGGAGTCGTGGCCTGTGGGAAGGGGGGGCCCATGTGACTTCCTGCAGGAGGCAATGGCTTCCTAGAAGGGTCCTTTCCCTTCAGCAGGCCAGGCAGGACCCAGCCAGGGTGGACACAGTTGAATATGTGAGCTTTTGCACAGTGACCCCTACCTTGGGAAACAGGAGGGGGTGTTCAGGGCAGCATCTGCTTCTGCAGGCGCCTCTTGGTGTTTGCACTGAGGTGGTGAGCGAACGCCCCACCCATTAGTGCCATTGACTCTAGCTGTGGACACTCACTTCTCACTCCATCTCGGTGACTGCAGTTTTGCCAAGCGTCTTCACAAGACCGTGCGGCGCCTGGTACCTGACTGTGACGTCCGTTTCCTCCGCTCTGAGGACGGCAGTGGCAAGGGGGCAGCCATGGTGACAGCAGTGGCCTACCGGCTGGCTGACCAGCACCGAGTTCGGCAGAAGATCTTGGAGTCTCTGAAGCTGAGCCGAGAGCAGCTGCTGGAAGTCAAGAAGAGGATGAAGGTAGAGATGGAGCGAGGTCTGAGCAAGGAGACTCATGCCGTTGCCACCGTCAAGATGCTACCCACCTATGTGTGCGCCACCCCTGATGGCACAGGTACGTGGCAGAATTGCCACCTAGCTCACCACTGTGGGCCTTTGTCCTGGTGTTGACTCTCTGGGAGGACTCTGTAGCCTTAGCATCGAATGTTTGCTCCAGAACATATTTCTTCAGCTATAATTCAAATGCTCCTCAGCTTAATAGGGTTACATCCCAATAAAATATGGGTTCAACTATAGGTTGAAAATGCAGTTAACACACCTAACCTGCTGAATGTCACAGCTTCACCTAGCGTACCTTAAATGTGCTCAGAACACGTACATACATCAGCCTAGAGCTGGGCAAAATCATCGGAGACACATTGATTACGGCATGGGGTGCTGGGTGTTGACCTTGGTGGTCACCTGGCTCGCTAGGAACTGGGGCTCACCACTGCTTCCTGATGTCACAAGAGTATTGTACCATATGTCACTAGCCCAGGAAAAGATAAAAATTCAAGATATGGATTCTACTGGATGCAAATTGCTTTTACACCTTTGCAAAGTCAAAAAATCATTGTCAGCCCTGGCCCGTGGGCTCTGTGGTTGGAGCATCGTCCTGTAACTGAAAGGTTGCAGGAATGATCCCAGGTCGGGGCACATGCCTAGGCTGCGAGTTCACCCCCATCCCGGGCATGGGCGTTTGCAGTTCTGGATGCTTCCGATCCCGGCCCAGCGCAGATCCCCGGTCTGCGCGCGTATGAAGGCAACCAATCATTGCTTCTCTCGCATTGACGTTTCTCTCTCTCCCTTCCTCTCTCTAAAACAGCAAATGAAAATGTCCTCAGGTGGGGATTAAGAAAAATCATTAAGTCAAACCATCCTAAATTGGGGACCATGTGTACAGGAAATTCATCAGAGGGAGCTTGATCAAAGCTTACTCTGATAAAATTTGAACATTGATAATAGTAAATACTTGCTGAATGCTTACCCAGTGCCAAGCACTTCTCCAAGCATTTAACACATTTCAATGCATGTAATCTCTGCCTGTGAACAGAGGTTAGTTGTCACAGCTGACACAGAACGAAGGCACGGAGATGAAGAAATCTGCCCGGGCTCACCTGGCTGGAGAACAGCAGAACTCTGATTCGATCCCAGGGGTTTTGGTTCCAGGGCCTGTTCTCTTAAGCCCTAGGTCAGGGGTTGGCACGCTAAGGCCCACAGACTGAATCTGGCCCACCATCTATTTTTTTTTTAATATTTTATTTATTTATTTTTAGGGAGGGAAGGGAGGGAGTGGGAGAGAGAAAGAGAGAGAGAGAGAGAGATCGATCAATGTGCAGTTGCTGGGGGTTATGGCCTGCAACCCAGGAATGTACCCTGGCTGGGAATCGAACCTGGGACACTTTGGTTCCCAGCCCGCGCTCAATCCACTGAGCTACGCCAGCCAGCCACCATCTATTTTTGTAAATAAATTTTATTTTACATAGCCATGCACGTTTGCCTATGTATTGTTTATGGCTGCTTTGCATTACCATGGCAGAGCTGTGTGGTTGCAGCAGAGATTCGCTTTTGAGGCCCGAAATGTTTACCACCCAGCCCTTCACAGAAAAATATTGCGGACCTCTGGGTCTATGCCACACAACCAAAGAAATGGCAGTTTTTGTCCAATTCACAGAAAACAATCGTTGAGCAGGCCAGTGTAAGGCAACTGGTACACGTTCCAGAGGCAGTAGAGTCTGGGACTTGGTCCCAGCTCTGCCCTCTCTGGCTGCGTGGCCCTGGGCAAGTGACTCAGCCTAGCTCGGCCAGGTGTTACTCCCTCATCAGAGGGGAATGCAGCGCCTCCCCCGCTGGGCTGGCTAATGGTTGCCCGAGCACCGTGTGAGGCACGAAGCACATGGTGATTGCCCAGTGAAGGAGGTGCCGGACTGCCATTCCTTCTCTATTCTAGAACCTCACATAAAGTGGCATTTTATTTATAATAAATGGCAGGTTTAGATGTTTTTGAGTGTGCTGTGTTACCCTGACCTTTGTTCTGCAGAGCTCGCTGTGACTTCTGGGTTCCTGCCACGTGAACTCATTTGAGAGCCACGAAGGAGCCAGCAGGCCTCTCTGGTCCCAGGGTCTTATCTTCTTTACTGTTAGGTGGAGCTCACAGCCCATCTCTCCTGAGGTTGTCTAGGGCCCCCCGGGAGATCTCCCCATTAGGGGAAGGTGATTGAGACCCTGTCACGGTCTGATGTGGTCAAGTGGTAATGCCCCAGCCATCATCTCCTTGGGTTTATTTTCCAGAGAAAGGTGATTTCCTGGCCTTGGACCTCGGGGGTACCAATTTCCGGGTCCTGCTGGTGCGCGTCGTGGGAATGGGAAGCGGCGTGGGGTGGAGATGCACAACAAGATCTACGCCATCCCGCAGGAGGCCATGCATGGCACAGGGGATGAGGTGAGGCAGGTGGCGCCCCTGGCAGGGGACCCCAGTAGACACCCACTTTTTGCCTGGGGGAAGAGTGCTTTCTCTGCTCACCATGGTCCTGGGGAGGGCTAGGCAGGCCAGGACCCAGGACTAGCTTTAGGATTACACTTGATCTTGTATTTCTCCTGAGTGGAGGCCTCACTTGTGCCCAGGCCTTGCTGGGGGAAGCCTGCCCTGGTCAGGGCCCCCTCCCTCAGAGCCCACCTTCTCCCTGCAGCTCTTTGACCATATCGTCCAGTGCATCGCCGACTTCCTCGAGTACATGGGCATGAAGGGCGTATCCCTGCCCCTAGGCTTCACCTTCTCCTTCCCCTGCCAGCAGAACAGCCTGAATGAGGTAACAGGGCCTTTCTGGAGGGCTCTCGTAGGGGCTTTATTGGCTCTATGGCAGCCGGGGTTTGGAGCTGGTGAGAAAGTTGAGCTGAGAGGAGGAAGAGAAGGGCAAAAGTGACCAGTTGTGAGGAGGGGCCTCTCGGTGGGGATGAGTTAGGTCAGAGCTGGTGGAGGTTAAACAGGCTGGCTCAGTGTAACGATCAATCTTTGGGATGACATAGATGATGCTAACCAAAATTTTAATCAATAGCTAACATTTTAAAGCAGTTTATGCCAATAACTGTGCCAGGCTTCCTCCATGCATTATCTCATTTAACCTCACAGCAACATGTAAGGTAGGTTTTGTGTACGCATTTTGCAGAAAGAAAAATAGGCCTTTAGAGATTTGCCAGCTATCAAAACCTGCCATTTCTTAGGTTGCAAGACCTAGACCAGTTCAGATAGCTCGGGAATGGCTAAGCTGTGATTTGAATTCTAGTTTTCTAACACCTAAGCCCATGTTCTCAGTTAAGCTCAGTTGCTCCTGAGGTCTGTGTTTTAAGTTCAGGGCATTTTCCATTCACCTCCTATCATTGGGATGCCCTCGCTGTCCTTTAGTCTCACCTTTGCTGTTCGTTCCCTGGGATGCACGGAGTGGAGTGAGTGCCGAAGACTAGCGTTCTCAGATGTGCTGGACGTGGGTGTGCTGAGAGGTGTCCGAGCTGAGTAGGTGATTGTCGGGCTTGATCAGGGCCCGTACTTGGTACATTAGATGTCACATTACTGACATTTAGCAGTTGTTCTTGTCTTTGTTGTTGTGAAGCTTATGTGCAGAGCACAAGTGGATACTGTGCTGTGGGTGGGTTGCCAGGGCACCAAAAGCACAGTTCCTGCTTTAGGTTCTCACACATACACTGGACTGATGGAGTGAGCTCAGAAAAGGCAGAGCTGCTTTGGAATGTGGCACCAGTGGAGTGTGAGAGCCCTGAGGGTGTGTGACGTATTCCGAGCCCCCCATCTGTGGGGGCATGAGGGACCCTTGCATCATCTCTGGCAGAAGAACGAGTCGATAGGGGAGATGGACAAACAGGCCCCGCAGTGTGGAGAAGGGCATGGAGTTTGGAATAGCCACAGGTTCAGTGAGCTCGGCCCAGTGGCAAGGAAAGGCCACGTTCTCCACAGGGTCACTGGAACAGCAGCCCTCATGTCGCTCAGCCGAGTTCTGTGAATGCCTCCCACTGCTCCCCTCTGAGAGTTGGATTCACCATGTGCACTGTGATGGTTAAGGTTTGGGGACGTCTTGTATTAAGAGCCCTGCCTAATCCAGTTTCCTCCGATACAGTTAACGTCTGTCTGGTGTTAACTACTCCAGTGTTACTTTTAGCTTTTCCAGTTTCTTTGTCTTTGTGTCAACACATTTGTTTTTTTTTTGGTGTTAGTGCATTGGATTTTCAGAGCCTTCACATTTGCATTAATTTGGCAAAGGGAAATATCAAACATGTGGATAAATATTTGTGACATTTGATGAAACATTATTTATTATTATAACAAAGATATGGGAAACCTAATTGTTCCATGGTCAGAAAATAATTAATAAATTATGAGCCATTCACCACCTTGTGCTAGTGACTAGTTTTTTGGGAGAAATTTCAATGGTATGGAAAAATACTGGGGGTAAGACTAAAAATATATTTTTTAAGAAAATGTTCCCCAGGATCCTTTTAAGAAAAGGCCCCCCGGATCAGAATGCCGTGCGGCCTGTTCAGGTTGACTAGCGGCACCAAACTCCCGGGCCGTGAAGTGCCGGCTGACCGGCACCACGGACAAGCGAGCGAGGCTGGAGGAGCCTTGCGCACAGCGAGCGGGAGCGCACGGCGAGCGCACACCCCATTTGTGATTCGGCCGTTGTGGGAGGGGCCTGCGTGTCCTTCACCTTTGTTTTTTGATAGAACCAGGGAACGGAACCCTTTCTTTCTGAACATGTCTCTCTTGTTCAAAGCCACCATGTCATCTGCTCCCAGCGGGCCCCGTGACATGGCAAAGGGCCACATTAAAGGTGAGGGGGCTTATGGGGGGCTCCAAGGATAACAGGTTGCTCCCCTCACAGGGATGGCTGTGAAGCCTGGATGTCACCCCAACTCAGGGCAGGACCCTTGTTCACTGTACGCTGGAGTTTGAAAGTTAAGAGACCCACACGGATGCCTCTGACATAAATACAGGGTGGGGACAGGGCCAACTGCCGTTCCCAGTGACAGAAACAAGCATGTAGAGCTTAGTTCCAGGGGCGGTTGTGTGCTGTGTGCGGCCCGTCCAGTGGAGTCGGCGGGCTTGGGCGTGAGTCCTGATCTGTTTCTCCAAGCTGCAGGCCTTGGGCAGGTTATTTCAGGGCCACAGTTACCTGTAAAATGGGCATGATGATGAGAGACACTTCACAAGGTTGCTGTGAGGATTAAATGAGGTAACACATGAGCTGTGCTTAGCTTACTACCTGGCACACTGTAGGCACTCGGGAAATTCAAGTGGGTGAAGCCAGTTTAGAATCACTGTGGGTGAGATGATTGGTACTGAAGAGAACCTGTAGGGCCTGAATAAGGGAAACGCTTTCCTGATACCCTCATCACTGCTCCTGTGTGGTTTTAGAGCATCCTCCTCAAGTGGACGAAAGGCTTCAAGGCATCTGGCTGCGAGGGCGAGGACGTGGTCACCCTGCTGAAGGAGGCCATCCACCGGCGTGAGGTGGGAGAGGCGCGGCCCGGGCCCGAAATGACCTGCCTGCGCGTTCAGAAAGTGGGGCAATGTTGAGCGGGTTGAGTGGGTTAGGGTGAGCGTGAACTCAGTCCTTCAGCAATTCGTGGGTGTCCGCTGTGTGTCGAGCCCTGCCCTGGGCACTGGGGGTTCGGGGATGTCCACAACACACTCCTGCACTTGGAACCAAGCCCTGAGCTAATGTCAGTGCTGTGGAGCTGTGAAGAACGGTGAAGTTGGGTAAGGACAGACCGGGTGGGGAAGGGGCACTCTTTTAAATAGTATAACCAGGGGAGGTCTCTGAGGAGGTGACATTTGCGCAGAGACCTGAATGACAAGAGTGACTGAGACACGCTGAACAACTTTCATAGACACGTAAACCTCCCTTGCAAGTGCCTGAAGGGAGAATGTTGTGGTTCACTTGTGGCCTGGGGACCTGCTTTTGCCCTCTCAGGAGTTTGACCTGGACGTGGTCGCTGTAGTGAATGACACCGTCGGGACTATGATGACCTGTGGCTATGAAGACCCTCACTGTGAGGTCGGCCTCATTGTTGGTAAGGACCTAGGCTGCCCTTCCCCCTGGGGACACACGGCCTCGGGTGGGTGGCGGGAGACGGTGCTGAGTGAGGCCCCGCTGTTGCTGTGGTTGGCAGGCACGGGCAGCAACGCCTGCTACATGGAGGAGATGCGGAACGTGGAGCTGGTGGATGGGGAAGAGGGGCGGATGTGTGTCAACATGGAGTGGGGGGCCTTCGGCGACAACGGGTGCCTGGATGACTTCCGCACGGAGTTCGACGTGGCTGTGGACGAGCTTTCCCTCAACCCTGGCAAACAGAGGTGAGCACCCGGCTGCGTGTGGTCTCCGGTGCACATATCCCAGAACTGGTGATGACAAGTAATCGGATCCTCTATAACACCAAAGCCCACGATACTCTTTCTCTTGAGATGTTAATAGAAGAGATTTCCTTGGAAAGGGTTTCTTGTCTAATACATCTGGAAAGTTCTGGGTCAAGTCCTTTCCCCCCGCTGGCCTGTGATGCTTTCAAACCTCGGTTGGGAAAACAAATGACAACAGTATGTTGCAAGGAGAATTTCACATGGGGGACTGGTCACACAGGTGCTAGGGGGGTGAAAAGACAAAGGGGGGCACAAGGAGCACAGAGTTCATGTGTGTAGGGAGCAGCTCCCAACGCCAGGACTGTCAGGACAGGCTGAGGAGGGAATGTTGGGACCAAGGTCTGGGACGGTGGGGAACACCAGTGGTGGGGAACCTCGGGTGGCACCAGGGTGAAGGAGCAGAAGCACTGCTGGGGTGAGGCGGGCAGGAGCAGACCGCTTCCTCCTCCTCCTCCTCCTCCCGCTGTCTGGGATGTAGTGTCCTCTGTGGTCGGGACTGGATGGCCCCACAAAGCCCCACTGTGCTATGGGGGAGTCTGAGCTGAGAGGCAATGGTGTAAGGTCAGCACGCTTCCCACTAGGAGGATATAGTGTTTCTTAACTAATTAATCTCGGACCAGAAAACTGCATAACATACTTTATAAAACATTTGTCTAGAATAGAGGTCACAGGCAACATTAATGAGGGACACAGGCTTGGGTAAAGCAAGATGGAGTAGCGATGGGGTCTTGATTGAAACTGGGGACTTCGACTTTTGTAAGGCACTATTGAAGGTGAAAAGACCCTCAGTCACTAAGTAGTCACATTCAGTTCTGGGGGCTGGGACTGGGTGCCTGATTAGGTCTAAGAGAAAGCATGCTAAATGCCTAGTGAGGTGAAGGACTAAGAATCCTACCTTCTCCTGGAAGTGTGGTAGCTTTGGGTATTGTTTCTCGAGGACTCAGGACTAAGCCTTGGAAATGAGCCCAGAAGGTGGGGTCAGTTCCAGGGAACCCCGTGTGTGGGCCTTGGACACTGTAGCCGGCATCACCGACCACCAGGGATCCTGCTCAAGTGAATCATAGTAGCTCTTCCTTTCCCACCAAGGGGACTCTGCATGCCTTCTACTTTCAAGTGTACCGGGGTGGGGGGGCGGGGGCTGACTCGACACATCCCAACCACATTCCTACTTAATCTCCATGGATGTTACTCACACTGCAGGTTTGAGAAAATGATCAGTGGCATGTACTTGGGCGAGATTGTCCGAAACATTCTCATCGATTTCACCAAGCGTGGGCTGCTCTTCCGCGGCCGCATCTCAGAGAGGCTCAAGACGAGGGGCATCTTTGAAACCAAGTTCCTGTCTCAGATCGAGAGGTGAGAATTTAGGTCCGGACGAGGGTGGGACCATGTCCTCCTCAGCTCAAGTCAGACCAGGGCGTGGCCTACACAAAGGTCAGTTTAGTTGCTGACACATTCATATCTGTGGTGTAAGAGGGGGGACCCATAACACCCCAGTATTAATTGATAAAAAAAGTATATTTATTCTTACACATTTAAACTTCAGTCACCTTTGAAGTACTCTCCACTTGATGCAACACATCTACTGAGACGTTTCTTTCCACTGCTCAGAACAGTGTTAGAGCCCGTCGGTTTGTTTCGCCGCTTCCACATCGGCAAAATGTGTCCCTTAAGGACTTTTTCCACTGGGAAAACAAAAAAGGTCGCTCAGGGTGAGATCAGGTGAATAGGGAGGGTGGGGCATGAGGATTGGCCTGGTTTTGGTCAAAAACTACTGACCACTCAGCTGCTGTGTGGGCAGGTGCGCTTGTAAGTCACCCATTGTGAAATGGGCAAACGCATTAAAAGAGTCTTCAAAAAAAAAAATTCACTGAAGCTGAACTCAGCCTCTCACAACAATGGCGTCTGGTCCACTGATATAGACGGGCTCCTAGAATAGTAACCTAGAGGGGGAAACCTGTACTACAAGGGGCCCACCCTCCAGAAAATAATTCCTTTTTTTGTTGTCCTTTACCGTCCACGTATATTTCAAGTATCTTACAGATAGTTGTCATTTTAAGGGAAAATATATAACAGTCTCATGAAAAATCATGCTAAACTGGCATAAGCCCATGCAAAGTAATGTTGGGTTTTAGATAAAATATTAAAGTTAGAAAGATAACCTATTAGAGCACTCATCCTTGGCCAGAGGGTTCTTCCTAACTGCTGGCTGTAGCAATAAGGCACCAGGACAGAGTGAAGGCAGCTTGTCAGGCGATGCAGAAGGATGCCGTGAGGCAGCTCATTAAAGTGAAGCCTCCCCTCTCCAGTCTTAAGGCAGAAAAGTCAGCTCCAAATTAGAATGGTGAATTTTAGAGCCCTTTAAAAATTAATGCTGTGTCATTACTCTCAGGCAAATAGAAAAGCAGGAGCTGACATGAGTGGGCCCGAGGCTGTCTGCACCAGTGAATAGAAAGGACGTGTTTATGTGTCTGTTTATGTGCAAGGAGGTGATTCCAGGGTTCTCAGTGCCCTTTATAATAGGGTTTGTTTTCTTCCTACAATTTTACTTACATTTGTTTCGTGAGCAGCCCACAAATGGGTTTCGGACCCCCCCGGTGGGGGAGTAGAAACAGACCGAGTGCTTGTCCTGCTGACCTGTGCCCAGCACTGAGAGAACAGACACGAGAGTTTTGCAGAAGACTACTGCCACGTACGAGTGATATCTTGTCTTTATTATTTCCAAATGAGTGGAATACCTAGACAGTGAATGTCCTTTTGTTTTGAGTATCAGCATTGCCTGACCTCTCGTAGGCGGTGTGGAGTAGGGAGCTGTTTCTCCGTGCTCCTACACACTCAGGGAGAGTCTGTGGTCCAGTGCAATGAGCACTGGCTCCTGGACCGCATTCAGAGCAGGAGCCACCTTGCAGGGCGGTGGCCTTTACACTCAGCTCCCAGTGGCCGGGCTCCTAGAATAACAGGCCACTGGCCCCTCTTAGTGCATGGCTGACCACTTCCTGTCTCCCTCCCACCCCAGTGACTGCCTAGCCCTGCTGCAGGTCCGAGCCATCCTGCACCACTTGGGGCTTGAGAGCACCTGTGATGACAGCATCATCGTCAAGGAGGTGTGCACCGTGGTGGCACGGCGGGCGGCCCAGCTCTGTGGCGCAGGCATGGCCGCTGTGGTGGACAAAATACGAGAAAACCGTGGGCTGGACACTCTGAAAGTGACAGTGGGTGTGGACGGAACCCTCTACAAGCTACATCCTCAGTGAGTAACCTCCACACTCCCTGTGCATCTTTCTCCCCCTCTCTCTGCTCTTTCCTTGCTTTCCCTTAGAGCAAACAACCAGCCATTGCAAAGAGTGCATAGTATGTGCATAGTAATGTGCATAGTATAGATTAAAGATAAATAATCAGAAGTAGCCTGAGTTTGCCCACCCAAGCCCCTGTGATCCCCTCCCCAGTTGCTCAGTTCCCGTCCAGCCCGGGGCAGTGCTGTGGCGACACAGTCCCTTGCTTCCGTTTCCCCGTGTAAGTATCTATGTGTGTACATCTCCACTGTCTTAGTTAAGTCTGAACTTGCCGTAGGGGCATCCTATGGCATCTCTTCCTTTGTGACTGACTTTTCCCACAGAGCGTTCCTGGCTTGGCCATGCATCCACACCGAAGTATACCTTTGTAGTTCATTAAATTTCAGAGCTGTATAGTGTACTGTTGCTATTCTACTGCTAGAGGATACTGGGCTATTGACTATCACAAACAGTGCTGCTGTGAACATTCTAGTACATGTGTGCTGAAACCTAGGTTTCTGGAGTATAAGATTTTTCTACAGTCTAAAGCAGGGGCTGGCAGACTACAGCCATGACTATTTATAAGTAAAGTTTTATTGGAACACAGCCGCTCTCACTCATTTGTATTGTTTTTCTGTGGCTGCCTTCAGCTACCAAAGCAGAGTAGTAACAACAGACCTTATGGCCCACAGAGCTGAAAGTATATCTGCTGTCTGACCCTTTATAGAAAGGTTTCCTATTGCACCCTCTCCAAGTATAGAAGCACTGATTTCCCTTTTATTTTTTCTTTTCCCTGTCTTTCTCCATTTCCTGCTTTCTCAACCCTGATCACCATTTCTCTCCTCCCTTCCTCACTCATTTGCATATGTTTTGAATAAATTATTTCGACATCAGGGAATGTCCTAGCTCTTCTCCCCTGGAAGCTTTTCAGCTGAAAGTTAAAATAATAGAGCAGTGCCCTTGGCCAGGACGGTAGGTGGGGTGGAGTGAGGATGGAAAGACTTGTCAATTGCATTGCCCCCTGCTTTCACCAGGGTTGCTTCAAGAAGTGGAGAGACTTGCCCAGACTTTATGCAGTTAGTGAAAAGAGTGGCCCTTGAGAAGTTCCAAGTCCCTTTTGTTGATGTTCACTATCACTGTGAAAATAGGTGCCATAGTCCTGGGTGAGGATCGGGAAGAGGATAGAAGCCCAGCTGCCAGCACTGGGGCTTGGTGTTAGGAGCCTCTGTCCTTGGCTTCGCCGATGAGGAACGTTGGTCTCTGTAATGTCCCAACAGCAACCCCCGGAGCCTTCTCCTTTTGCCTTTAATGACATTTTAGACTCAGTTGGGTCGATGTCAGTCAGTACCACTGGAAAATGGAACGCGTGGGGGCTTGGTCCTTCCCCCCAGAGTTTGTGACCAGGTTGTGCACTCTGCAAGGCACACTGTGGTGTGCGTGACTGTTGGACTTCTCTTTCACTGATGAGTTTGAAGAACACAACTTGCCAGCATCTCAGACAGTTGAATCTTAGCTTTCCACTCACCTGCTCTGACATAGAATTTGGGCGTTTTGCTAGTGGCTCCAAGGCTCCGTTTTCTAATAGGTAATACACAGCAAGTGTTTAATACACGGTAGCTGTCATTCTTTTCTTCATCTCGATTATTCCTGGGTTTCCGGCATCACTTCTTAGGGTCTCACCTCTGAGGACACAAATCGATCATGACTAAGTTTTTATTCTGTGTCTTCCCCCCAACTTTTCCAGCTTTGCTAAAGTCATGCGAGCGACGGTCAAGGACCTGGCTCCGAAATGTGATGTGACCTTCCTGGAGTCAGAGGACGGCAGCGGGAAGGGGGCGGCTCTCATCACTGCGGTGGCCTGTCGCATCCGTGAGGCTGGACAGCGATAGAGCCCCTGAAGTTGGGACGGACTTCCTCTGGTTCCCCTCTTCCCTGCTCTTTTAAATTATAAGACGTCATCCCCTGTGTCAGAGATGGATCCCTCGAAGAGTCTCTGCCAAGGAAGAGCCTTGGCAGAGAGGACGCTGCCAGGCTGCATTTTGTCTCTGTGTATCCTCACTGTAGATGTTGGTACCCAAGCTTCGGCCTTCCTGAGATAAATTCGAAGTAAGGATTTGTTCACACTCATCACAACCATTCCCCCTGGTTCTCTTAAAACTTAAAACAGATGTTAACCTTTAGTAACTCCCCTGGCCGAATTCCATGTCCATATATAATCCTGCAGGACACTAATGAAAAGATACAGTTGCTTTGCCTTGAACTTGGGCTTCTTCACCTTGGACCTCAGGAGTGACATTTCTAGGTGGAACGCATCCTCCAGCACGGAGGCTGATGCTGTTTCTCAGAGACCTGAGAGGTCTCTGCTAACTTGAGCCTGATTCTCCCATGTGCAGAACGTGGGGGCGGGGGAGGGGTGGCGACGGAGAGAAATCGTAGATAGCCGTGTGGCAGCCCCTCTTCAGTCCCATCTACGCGCATCACCTGGAGGGTCGCTGTCCTTGGAATTAAAGCGTCCTGGGTCTGGGCGCGCAGCACCAAAGCCACGAGGTGGCACGTCGTGCACGTGGAGTTGTCACATCTCCTCGTGGGCTCACGAGTCATCGAGAGCGTTGGACCTTTAAGAGAGAGTGGGGGACTTTTTGGTCTGATTTTTAAAATATTTTTCCTGCAGAAGTGTAAACACTGTATTTTCATTTTAACTTATGTTTGAAATTTAGCTCATGAAGTACATGTGCTTCTTCATCTGGATACTGTGTGTCATAATCAGTTGTGTGTATGTATTTATATGTTAGTTTGTTGTGTATATAGATGCACAGGGGCTTCTCAGACCTGGCTTCTTTGGAAGGCTGGGTAAAGGATGGAAGGTGACTGGTAACTAGAAATACCTCATTCGCCTGGCCTGCGGGAAGCGAAGGGACGCTTCTTCATGGTGAGTGAAGGGCCAAGCACACCCTCCCAGGTCCTTCTTCCCCTGCAGACTCTGACAGGCGGAGAGCAGGGGAGAGGGGCAAGGAGGCTGGGCCTGTTGGTGGAGGAAACCACAGCCACTGGCCGAGCTGTGTGGAGACTTTCCTGGGGCAGTGTGGCCTGGGATGTTAACCAAAGGACTCGGACTCATTGCTTAGGAGTCTTCATTCTTAAGGCCGTCAGTATAATTTTAAAGCTCTCTAACAAGATAAAAGAAGCCACCAAAAACATTTTTTTAAAAAATGTGTGTGATCATTGATAGTGAACCAAAACAATGAAACAAACAAAGGAATGAAGCCTCAGGGACATTTTTAGAGATTTGTGTCCTCCCAGCAAAACTGGTTTTGTAAGTGTTTTACAAGAAGCTTGTGGAGGGCTCCTCTCGCCTGAGCTATTTTTATACACGGTATTTATTTTAAACGGCTCGGGGCGGGAGGGCGGGGGAGAAGCAGCACAAAACCTTTCATACCTTACTTTTCAGGAATGAAGTTACTTCTGAATCCTAAGCCCATCTCATCCCCGGACACTAAAATATAAAGAAGGAATGGTCTTGCAACATGACTGAGTAGGATACGAGCATCAAAACAGAAAGATGGGAAGACACACTTCGGTAGCACCCAATTTTTGCACATTTATCAAACTTGTACTGAGAACGGTGTCTAGATTTGTATATAACTGAAGGAAACCCAAGAAATAAAGATGAATTTTAACTTTTTTAGATTTGACAATGGGGCCCCATCTATGAAATCACTCATTTTTTTTTTTAAGGGTAGAGCTGTGTGTGTGGCTGTGAATGCCGTGTTGTTGGTTTCTGAAGAAGAACGGGCACGCAGTTGACCCGCCGTGTTCCCACGCCGGTTGACAGCTCTGTGCGGAAGCTGCGCTGCCTGATGGGATGCGGGGAATCTCAGTCTTGGACTGGGGTGTGCTGAATGGCAGATCTCAGAGCCCCGAGCACTCAGTCTAGTGGTGGTGTCATACACAATAAAGAACTAGTTGAATTAACTATGTGATGTTAACTATTAATAAATTTTAACATTTTTCAAAATAGTCCACGTGTGATTCCTGAGTACTGTGAAGAGCGCAGTCACGGTTTGGGCGCATCCGTACTTCCTGGCCAGTGCGAATAGTTTGCGGGTGCCACGGTTCGACTGTGTGCTTTGACGGTTATGCAAGTGAGTCAGGAGGCTTCACTAGATGTAAAAGACAAGTTTTATTCAAGGGCCTTAAGCGAATTGCAATTCAGAAAACACAAACACCTAAAACCTAGAGTGTTCTGAAGAAAAAAAGTTGAGAGTTTTTATAATAAAAAGCATATTTTTTTAGAAGAATCACTTCTTCATTCTTAGCTTCTGGATTGAGTCAAGGTGGTTATTTTCCAGATACCCATTGTTCTGGTCAATGGAGTATTCTTCCCTAACTTCCTCTGAGGATTATCCAGAGGATTTATTACGCCTGGACATTGATGCACAGATGAAAATTTCCGTAGTTTAAGTCCTCAGGCGAAAGTAATGTAAAATTGATTCCTCACGTTTCAGCCCACTCTGATTCGAGTGGTTTTGTAGTTGACTCTAGTGACTCCAATTAGTTTCTTCCCTCTTTCCTCGTAGGCATGTCTCGACCCCAGATACTTCTCTTGCCAGCTACCCAGTACTGCAACAGGAAGACGACTTTTTCTAGGCCATCTTCTAAGCCCCTGGGTTTCAAATGCCACCGAAGAACCACAGCTGGCCCTGCTGTCTACTGTTCAAGCAATTTGGTTGAGATGTAGCAGAACCCTCGGGGGTGCTGGCTGGTTTCTGCAGGCACATGTGATTTGCACTGAAGATACAAAGCCCATCTAAAAAGCGCTTGCTTTGTGCTCTCCCCACCAGCCTTTCCCCTCTCCTTAATGAGCAAAACACAAACCTGGGAAATTAATTCCTCTCAGGTCCCTACTGATATCCACTGACATTGGCAGGGCCCTGCGTGAGTGACAATAACAGGGAGGAAGCTGACAAGGAGGCTATACATGGGAGGCTAGAGATAGCCGAAATGCTATCGCCATCACTAGTGGTGAAAGAAGTTAGAATTGGACCTTGTTTTTCCAACACCAATTTGGAGAGAGAGTGGGAGCATTCTCATGCTATTGGGGAGAGTACAGATTAGTACAACCATCTAAGAGGGAAAAAGGCAATATGCATCAAAAGCATGTTTTGGATAAATTTCTGGAAATTTATCCAGAAGAAATATACATAATTGGGGCCTAAGATTTAGTTTTAAGGGTATTGACTACTGTATGACTTATAATAGCAAAAAAGGGGCACTCTACACAATGGGTCTGCCCACCCTGCATCAGGGTCCACCTAGTTACTTCAGTCACTTCAGAACAGGAGCTTGGTTATACAGGTGATGGGAAAGCTGAGAAGTCAAACACTAGATAAACAAACCAGAGATTAGCAACATCAAAAAAGCCACTGCTATCCCACTGGCTGGACCAAAGTCCAAGGCTGGGGAGGGGATGCAGGGGCTGGAACCACAGAGCAGGAAGGGGGGTGGTTTGAAATACTCTGGCTTCCCCACCCTCTGGTTTTCTGCAGGGTCTCCACTGGCTGAACCTAGTGGGAAGCCAGCTGGCAAAGGGAACCTGGAAAAGGTAGTACTTGTGATACAGAGCAGGGGAGGGAGGGGCCTGGGGCTCAGCAATAAGTAATTGGCAGGCATCCTATAAAGCCAAGAATATTTAGTATCATAGAAAGCATGCTGCTTCATGCTGACACTGTCTGACAGAACAGTATATTATGATCCTGGTTTTTTTTTAATTAAAATATATGACATATGAGGTATAATGTGTTTCCTTGAATGTCTCCTCTGTTTCCCTGGACTGTGGGCATGAATAAGGTCTCCACCTTGGGGGTAATGGCCTCAGCCCCATTCCTCAGCAGCTGCCCTTCAGATGTCCCCTCTGGGAGTGGGACACCCTCCATGGGGCTCTGGAGCACCCAGCTCCTCCTGGCCTGCCAGCCTCAGCCAGAGGCTGTCTGGGGCAGCTTTGGTAGTGCCCGCCCAGGTCACTGCTGCCACCACTGCAGAGCCTTGGGGAAGAGCTGCTCTGTCATTCTCACGGGGGCTCCCTGGTGGACACAGACCCTGATGTTACAGAACAGAAGAGTTCATCCACCTAGTGCTGGTTCATGCACCAGCAGAGCCAACACTAGACACTGAGAATTGCAGTGGAGAAACACTGGCTATTTTATTATGAATGCACCATCCAGGAGAATGGGAAGCGAATGCTCAAAAGCCTGGACACCCCCATGGCATGCAGGTTACAGATTATATGGGGCAAAATCATAGCACACTGGGTTACGGGTTTGGGCTGTGCCGGGAGCTGGTTGGCTGGAGGTGAAGTAAGGGTAATGAATCATTTTTCAGGTCTTGAGGACAGCTCTGAGGTTTTTTTCAAGCATCTCTGTCTGGTCTTGTGGGAAAGTGGCCAGGGGGTGGTTCTACCTTACGGCTCAGGTACTGAAACATAACTTAGGTCAAGATGCTATCTTTAACTTGCCAGAGGTCTGGACCCTGTGCTTATTAGTCAGTTTGAACTACTGTCTTCTGCTTTTTCAGGGGTGGGGGGAAGGGGGTGCTGATTACATGGGGGAAAAGACTAGGTAGGTATCTGAGAGAGAGAGGTAGGTGTTCTAGGGCTAAGATTTGAAACTAAATTTCATCAAAGTCATGAAGACCTGACCTTTGGTTTCGCTTAATGCCCCACAGGTTGTACCACTGGACAAGTTGGACACAACACCCTGGAGGGAGTTTTCTCAGTGTACAACTTAAACTAGCTTCTGCACTAGCGATCCTCAAAGCCTCTGGGCCACCTGTGCTCATGGGTCTCCCTTGGGCCGCCACCTTCCTGCCCATTCCTCACCTCTGTGGGGTCCCTCACCAAAAGGCAGACCCATTTCCTTCAAACGAATGGACAGCCTGCACCCAAGTTGCTTGCATCTTGGAAATAGCTTTTTCAGCTTCTGCCAAGCCCACTCAGCTCCTTCTAGTCTCTCTTTGCTGCTTTGTTTTCTTTAGTTTGGGCAGGGGGTGCAGAAGGCTAAATTACTCATACCCCTCCCCAATTTCAGGCATTTTCTACCTTTTGCAAGGATCGTTCTTGCCTTTTTACTTTCTTATTGCATTTTATCCTCATTTCCCATTCCCATTCTCCATTCACGATCTGCAGCCATGGTGCTGGGTTGATGTGTGATTTATTTGTGTCTCTGTGAGGCATATATTGTTTGTCTACATATTGTTTTCTAATTTACAAAATGCTATTGGCTAAAGGTCTTGTTATTTTTTCCCCATTAAGCATCATGCTTTGAAAGATTCATAGATGTTGCTGTGTGCACATATAATCCATTGCTTGTAGTTACTGCATAATATTCCATTGTGCACATGCTCCCATGGATGGACAGGTGAATTGCCTTAGCTCTGGCTACACAAACATAGCCTCAGGAGCATCTTTGCACATGGCCCCTTAATTGTCTTTGATATAATCTTGCTAAGCATGTGCTCAGGGGCGGGAGAGCTGGATCAGGGGTTGGGCATTTGCTTAACCTGACCCCTCTCCCTCCTGCCAGATGAGTCTCCTGAAAGGCTGCCCCAACCCCCACCTCCAGCAGCAGATCTCTGGCCGTGCCTGGCATCATCTAGCTTTCTAATTTTTGTTAATGTCCTGGGTGTAAAGTGAGATTGTGTGTTTTTTTTCTTTCCTTCTTTTTCTTTTTCTCTGTGTATGGTTGTTATAATGTGCATTTCTCTAAGTAACAATGAGTTTGAACATCTCTATACATTTCTGAGCCTTTTAGGTTTTCTTCAGTTAATTGCCTGTTCATACTCTTTGCTGATTTTTCAGTGAATTCTTTTTCCTTGCTGACTTTCCAGAGTCCCTTGCTCTAGGTATCAGCCCCTTGCTGGGATTGTATATTGCATGTATCTTCTCCCAATCTATTAATTTTGTCCGCAGCAGCCTGTGTTGACTAGGAAAGTCTTCTTTTCGAGTAATCCAATTCATCAATCCCTTTTGCTTTATGATTTGTACCTTTGACCTTTTTTTACCCACTAACATTGTCTTCTATTAATTTTATGTATAGTTTTACTTTGTATTTTATAGGGCTAATGTAAAACCCTTAAAGAGTCCATCTTTCTATGTAATATCAGGCAGGGTCCAAGTTTTTTTTCATGTTGTTAGAGTTAGTCTGTCCTTGCCCACTGATTCGTGACAGTTTTTCTGAAACACAGTACTGACTGTGCAAGGGTCTGTTTCTGAGTTCTCCTCTGGGCCCATTGGTCTCTGCTTGATTTGGAAACAGTAACAGACTATTCCTGCTACCAGGGTTTGCTGGTGTGTCCTCCTTCTTTTCTTCTTCAAATTCAACTTTTCCAGGAGGTGAGTCCTCCTTCTTTTCTTCTTCAAATTCAACTTTTCTTCTTCTTTATTCCTTTATGTAAGTTGTAGTAGATGTTTGTAGAATCTCTAAAAAAAAGCTTAAATTTTTATTAGAGTTGCAATAAATTTTCCAGTTTTGGGGGTGGAATTGGCCTTTCAAGTGTTCACAAGAGCACAGAATGTCTCTCTGTGTTTTCATATAATCTTTTCTGCCTTTTTCTCACTTTCAGAGTTTTGTCTGCAGAGGGTTTGTGAATTCTTCGCTAAGTCAATCCCCAGGCAGTTTATACGTGCTATGCATGGGCCTTGATTTCTTTATATTGTCTGGTTGGTTATTGAAGGATTTCTCAGCCTTGGCACTGTTGACATTTGGGGCGGGATACTCCTCTGTTGTGAGGGCTGTCCTGTGCAGTGTAGGATGTTAGTGGTATCCTTGGCTCACACCCATCACACATCAGTAGCACCTCTTCCCCAGTTGTAACAAAAGGTCTTCAGACATTGCCAAGTGATATTTTATTGTATACATGTACCACATCTTTTTTATCCATTTGTGTATTAATGGACACTTAGGTTGCTTCTGTATCTTGGCCACTGTAAATAATGCTGTAATAAACATATGGATATATATCAT